ACGAGGACCAGACCGTGAAGCAGTGAGAAGGCGTGAGTGCCATGCAGTGACCTAAAAGTTTAACTGTAGCCTCTCTCCTCAGAGCTGCCTCTCAAACCTGCAGTAAGCAGCTGCTGGTTCACAGGACTAGACAAGCTGAAAGCAAATTGTCACTTTTATGCAAACTGGGTTACTTGACCTGAAGCAGCAAAGCCTCGGTGTGAACATGGAGGTTCCTCAGTAAGTACAGCCCTTGCTCTGGGAGCAGGGACGTGTTTGAGTGGGCCTGGCACCGGGTGGCTGTACAGAACCCTCGAGGTGGAGTGGGGGGAAGGCTGCGTCTGGAAAAGAGATGCTCCAGTCTGGGTTTGTGGCAAAGCTGTCCTGGTGTTTGCTCTCCAGGTCCACGCAAAGGTGTGCATTTGCCTCATGAAGGCTTTAGAGTTCCTGTTTGAACAGGTGAGATAATTGTGTGGCATTGCTTGCGCAACTGGTACCTTGCTCAGGGTGGGAACCTTTGTAGCTAAATGTCTCCAAAAGAGGCGTTTCTTGGTTTTTTTAAGCTGCACTGACTGGACGCCCTTTTTCAGCCACTGTATATTTCAGCATTTTGAACCATGACTAACTCGACATGTCTCGAGCTAGGATTTGTTGACTTCTACTGTAGTTTTTTTCATGAAAGTTGAGAAGGCCTGGTTTATGGCCTTTTGTTTCTTCATGAGAAGGTGTGACACTGCCTAAATGTTTCTTACTGTGAAACACACAGAACGTGAGGCTGCAGTCAGGGTTGTTTCTGGTGTTTTGATAATGGCTTGCATGCTGCTTTCTAGTTATCTGTTTGTCTGAGAAACAAAGGTTATCATTTCCTCCAGTTGTGTTGCTGTAGTGGTTGGTTTGATTCAAAACACTTCGTGGGCTCTTTATCATGGGCAAAATATGTTCTCATCCTATTAAAAAAACCCAACAAACAAAACCACCACCGAGCCACAATCATGGTGCAACTACAGTTGACTTGCTGACCTTTGGTAACTGTATCATTTCGCACAGGGTAAATAATCCTGTGTGGGTACAGGTGATGTATATAATGACCATGTCATTATGGATTGAAACGAGGTGACTTAAAGAGGATTCTGTATTTACACTTGGCGTCTAAAAATAACTTGAGTTTTAATTAGTTGGCTGTTCTCTCTATTAACAGGGAAAAATTAATCTGTAGACACTTAATAGTTGGGGGAAGCAGATTTGACCAGTTTTCAAAAGCATTTCATATTTTTAATTTGCAGTCAGTTCTTACTCTCTTCTCTTGTATGGTCTGAGCAGCTGAGAGCAATGCCTCAAATAACCAGAAATGACCTTTTGTTTGTTGATACAAATTGTATCTCTTTTTCTTGATTGTATAAAAACTATGTATAAACCAATAATCTCTAGGTTAGCTTCAGTATTACACTCTCACCACAACGTTTGTGACACTGTGTGTCACAGGGAAGTAGCCCATGAGTAACTATGGAGCTTTTTTATTTCAATGGGCACTTGTAGTTTATAGACAAACAGGGACAACTTTTCAGAACCAGGTTGTGTGCACAGACACTGCGTGCACATCTCCAGGTGTTACATAGCTATCTTCGTCTGTTTACTGAGCAGATCCATCCTTGCACTAGCCTTTATGTAGAGATGTTGCTGTTAGCTCATCTGCATGTGTGTACAACGCACCAGCACCGGCTGCAGGCCCCGCTTTACCCTGCCAGCTTAACTCACAAGTTACTGAGCTAAAATGAAAGTTTATTCTGCACTCATGTTTTCCATCCTGCATGGAATTCAATATCTGTATGCAGAGAAATGTTGGTTCCGTTTTTCCCACTGAAAGATAAGCTATTTTAAGAGAGGTTTTAGGTGTTTCTGATGTTTTCTAACGTGGAAAAGCGAGTAGAGATTTCTGTTTGGAGTGTTGGGTGGTCACAGAGATACCCATTTCTGTAGGATTTGTCTGGTCATCTTAATTTTCACTAACTTTTGTCTTACTGAGAGAATAATTCCTTCCTAAACACTGGGAATGCTG